CTCTGTCTCCTTCTCCCCACACCTCCACAGTTGCGACCTCCTTGAGGGCAGGGACGTGTTTGTTCAGCTTTGTAGTAGACAACCCTCAGCACTAGGTCTTGCACACAAGGGTGGCTCCACAAATACCTTTGAGTATCCTTGCAAAGAAGAAATTTTAGAGAAGGGGGAGAGAAGAAAATAGGAAAAGGAAGGGAGGTGGGAAAGAAGAGGAAGCAGAGCTTTGGAGGCTCTTGGGAGGCACCTGGCTTTGCAGTAAACTGATTTGGTGACTCACTGCTAGGTCTTGCTAAGCTGGGGGAAGGTGGGTCTCCTGGGGTCTGCTATCAACAAAGACTGTTTCTTAGGGGTTTGGAATCACCCCTTGAACTCTCTGAGTGGTGTAGGGAGTAGGGGCTACTAAGGTAAAGGGCCAAGGGAGTGTTAGTGGACTATACTTGTAAAGCTACCAGAACTATAAGCTTCGCCACTTGCAGCTGTGTGACCTTGGGCAAGCTTCTGTCTTCTCTGTGCTTTTTTTCTCATATGAAAAGTGAGGACGGGGCCTCTATCTCTAAGGGTCGTGACGGTCAAATAAAAATATACTATGTAAAGTGCTTAGCACAGGTCCATTGCTCAGTAATCGCTGGCTGTCATTATTGTCCCAAACTTAATGTCAGTCCTACACAAATGTGAACCCAGGCTCCCAAGGGTAGCCCCACCCAGCCCCTCCTACCTATCTTAGTTATCTAGTGCTGCTATAATGGAACTACTACAAGTGGGTGGCTTTAAGGAACAGAATTTTATTTTCTAACAGTTTAGGAGATTAGAAGTCCAAATTCTGGGTGCTGGTTCTAGGGGAAGGCTCTCTGTCCGTTCTGAGGGAAGGTCTGTCTCTTTTCAGCATCTATTCCTAGGTTCCTTGGAGATCATGTGGCATGGATCTTCCCCTCCATTTGTGCTTGCTTGCTTAATCTGGTCTTTTATATCACAAAAGAGATTGACTGCAGATACACCTTACACTAATACTGCCTCATTAACATAGTAAGGAAAACCATTCCCAAATGAGACTATCACCACAGATATAGGAGTTAAGATATACAACACATTTTTGTGGGGGATACAGTTCAGTCTATAACACTACCTCTGGTTGCCTGCAAACAGACAACTTTCAGCACCTAGGGGCCTGCCGATGTGGAGTCCATTGGTGGGGAGATGATGGCGCTCCCCAACGGCCTCTGCTTCTCAGAACCGCTGAGGGCCTGGCGGGGCACAGGGCACAGGGCGCCAGACCACTGACTGCCAGCATGGAGGCAACAGGGATTGACCTCAGGGACTGTGAGTCACATGAGGAAATTCTTGGGCCCAAGTTGGCTGCCAGAAGTGCAATTCTGCCCTAACCGGTTCTGAAACGTTTTAAGTACACACAGTCATTTCCCTTATCCAACCTGAAGGAAGCAGAAACTATGTATTTCTTTACTTAAAATAGAGTTAATTCTATATATGCTTTCCATTGTAAAGGTCTATACATTTAGAAAAGGTAAATAGAAAGAGGGGAACATCACCCATGGGCTATCATTTAGGTGTTTTTCTGTTTATTTTCCCATTTATTCAACAAACATATACTGAGCACTAACTACATGCCACTATGAGTCGGAATCAACTTGATGGCAACAGGTGTGGTTTTTTGGTTGACTACATGCCTGGCATGGGTCTAGTTGCTGGTGACACGGTCCCGGAAGAGAACAGCTGGTGTCTCTTCTCTCAAAGTCTTCCCCCTAGTGGGAGGGAGAGAAAATAAAGGGCTAGTATATAAGAGCTAAGGAGCCCTGGTGGCACAGTGGTTAAGAGCTCGGCTGTTAGCCAAATTGTTGGCAGTTCAAATCCATCAGCTGCTCCTTGGAAACGCTATGAGGGCAGTTCTACTATGTCCTATAGGGTCACCATGAGTCGGAATCGACTAGACGGCAACGGGTATATAAGAGCCACAGAGAAAAACAAAGTAAGGTGTGGGGATAAAGGAGTGTTGGGTTGGGAAGGCAACTCTATTTAGGTGACAGGGAAGGTCTCTTTGGGGCATTGGAAGAGACTTGAATGAAGTGAGGGATTCACATGGACATTGGAGGCAGAGTGTTCAGGCGAAAGGAGTAGCAGTGCAAAGGACCTGAGGTGGAAGTGAGCCTGGTGGGTTGGAGGGACAGTAAGGAGGCCAGATGACCAGAGCAGAGTCAGCCAGAAGAGAGTGAAGGAGAGGGGTCTTGGAAGTGATGGGCTGGGTCAGATAGGGCAGCGCTTATCAAGCTTGAATGTGCATGAATTCCCTGGGAACTTGTTAAAATGCAGATTCAATGAAGGTTTGAATGGGGATTCTGTGTTTCTGACGAGCTCCCAGTGATGCTGATGCTGTCTATCAACCACAATTTGGGGAATGAGGATGCAGGCAAGTGTGCACTCTTGTGGGCCAGGGTAAGGATGCAGCTTTTACTCTGAGGGGCATGGGAAGCCTTTGGATCACCCTAAATTGCAGGGCAACTTGATCTGTCCTTGTCTTGAAGGATTGCACTGGCTGCTGTGGGGATTAGTCTGAAGGGGGCGAGGGTGGGAGCAATAATACACGAGAGGGATGTGGTTTGGACAGGGGGGTCACGATGGCAAGTGGTAATCAGGTGCTGCAGATATTTTGAAGGCGAGCCACCAGGATTTGCTGGCAGACGACATGTGGAGTGTGAAAGGGAGGAAGCTAGGATGACAAGGTTTCAAGCTGGAACAAGAAGAAACAATAATTTCTATTTACTAACATGAGGAGGACTGTGGAAGGACCAGTGTCTGAGGGCAGAATCCCTGGGACATGAAAGGCTGAGGTGTCAATCAGACCTTTGGATACAGGGCTGAAATTTGGAGGGAAGGACAAGGCTGGAGAGCCAAAGAATAGAGAGTTCTTGCCTGGGGGTAGGAAAGAAGAGAGATTTGTGGATGGAGCCTGGGACCCTCCAAAACTTTGAGGGCAGAGGAAGCAGGAGCAGCTGTGAAGGGCTGGGAAGTGGCAGCCATGGAGTAGAAGGGGGACCATGCATTTGTGGTCATAGTTGTACCAGTTATCCACTGCTGTGTAACAAATCACTGCAAACTGAGTGCCTTAAAACCACAGTTATTATTTCTCACAATTTTTTAAATTGGCTTGATGGTTCTTCCGTACCATGTGGTGTTGCCAGGCGTCCCTCATTTGGCTGTCTTGCCTGAGGCCTCAGTGTCTGGGAGCAGGTCCTGACTCTCAGCCAGGAGGCCAGATGAGCTTCCTTACTGGAAGCTGGGCTCCATGGGAGCAGAAGCTGGAGCTGCCCAGTCTCATGAGGCCTAGATGCGGATCTGCACTGATCCACTCTGAGTGTCACATTCTGTTGGTCAAAACAATAAGGCCAGCCCAGACTCAAGAACAGGCCATCCAGTCTATAGGAGAAGATGCACTGTGATGGAGACCACTTACCACAGTATTTACAGTTTTCTATACTCTATTAAAAACAGGAAACTAGGCTGGGTGGTGTAGTAGATGTTGGAACGGGAGTTGGGGTGCTGAGTGATAGTCCTGCTCTTTCACCTGCCAGCCCTGTGCTCTTCAGGAAGTCCTTTTATTTGTCTGGGTCTCAGTTTCTTCGTTGTTCCACAGTGGGGTTGGCCTAGATCACTTTTAAACTAAGTGGGAAAATGCTTGGCACAGTGTAGGGCACATGCCGCTGCTTACCACGTGTCGGCTGTGACGCTGTGTCTGCAGCCCTGAAGGTCATTCAGTATACCTGGGCTTCTCTGGAAAGCAGATCTCACAGCTGACAGGAGGGAATCTTCCCCAAACCCAAAGAACTCAACAGACCAGTTTCCCCAGTCCCCTTTCCCTTGTGTTTGACTTCTTTATTAGGGGTTCCTTCTGGGTGTTGAAATATTTAAGAATCTGGTAGAGACAAGCTTTATATGAGTTTCCTTCTATCCACCCTGGCTTGATAACGACAAGCACACAGCCATGTATCCAGCCTCCTGTGTGCCAGTTCCAGCTAGATGTTTTACAGACATCGTCTTATTTACTCTTTACTGCATCCCTTGTAAGGGAGGTGTACATTCATTTCCTAGAAAAGGAAACAGGTACAGAGAGGTTAAGGAACTTGCCCAAGGTCACAGAGCTAGTAAATAGTGGAGCCAAGTCTTGGACCCCGGCCAGAGACGCTGAAGTAATGGAGAAAATTCCCATCACCTCAAATCACCTGAGGTTCCCAGGAGCTGTGCTTCTCTGCCACATTTTTCCCTGGGGGAGAGGTGACCCCGCGGCAGTTCTGGCTAGGGGCTGGGTGGCATGAACATGAGACCTGACCTTGGACCTGGGGCCTCACAGCCTCCTGGCTTGAGGGCCCCTGGTCAGTCCATTTATCCCGTGGGGCATGTGTATGTATGTGTGTGTGGTGGGGGTACAGGCAGGCCCAGAGGGGTGGGAGGTTCACTCCTAGGGGAGCACAAATAGATTAATGCTTTGGCTCCAGCCTCTGAGAGGCTGAACCTGCTGTCCTTTGGTTGTCTGGACCATCTGTTTCTTCGCTGCAATCTGGAACCTGTGTCTTCCTACCCCAGTACCTCTGTTGTTCCCGGCTTGGCGAAGCCCCTCCCCTCTTCCCCGCCTCACCCCCTCGAGTTTCAAGAAGGGCGCACAAACTGAAACCAAAACAGCTGGGCGCCAACTGTCAGTTCCGGATTGCAGACCAGGTGGGCGCACCGCAGTCTTGCAGGGCCAAGACCCTGTTCTGCCCGAGCGCCCCTGTGGCCCCTCAGGGTCCCCACAGGATCTCCCTTCGTGCTTCTCTTCTCTGGGGCGAGCTGCCGGAGGTAGCTTCAGACCCCAAGGGGCCCCGGCGAGTGGGTGGTGCCGGGAGGGCGGAGAGAGGGCGGGCCCGCGAAGACACTAAGGGGCTCACCCGGCTCGCGGCGCCTCTGCTGGCTTCGACCGGTGTGGCGGGCGGCACCGACCTGGGGCGCCCAGCGACCGGATGGCGGGGCGCAGCCTGGGCCGCGGCGTCGGGCGGCTCCTCGGCAGCTTGCGTGGGCGCTCGGAGCAGCAGGTCCGGCTGCTGCGCGGGGCGAGTGCATTTAGCCGGCCGGCCTCCGGGGGCGCCGGCAGCGCCCCCGCCGCCGCAGCCGCGCAGCCCGGCTCGTACTCGGCGCTAAGCGCGCGGGCAGCCCGGGAGCCGGACGCCTTCTGGGGGCCGCTAGCGCGGGATACACTGGTGTGGGACACCCCCTACCACACAGTGCGGGACTGCGACTTCAGCAGTGGCAAGATCGGCTGGTTCCTGGGAGGCCAGTTAAACGTGTCCGGTGAGTGGGCTGGGGGGACACAGGGAGCCCCCAATTCACGCATCTCAACGGGCCCAAAGAACTCCCCGCCACCAGCAGCAGTCGCTGCTGGGCCAGGCGGATCGCAGCTGGTGCCTTGGCAGCACCACCGGACGCGCCTCCCCGGTTATCCTGCCCCATTCGCCCTCATCTATGGTGCTATGTGATCCCTCTACCCGGATCCTACCCAGTCCCAGAGACTCCAGCACCGGCCGGCTGTTCGCTGTGCCCGAATCCACGTTCCCCGCTAGGGCTGAAGTTAGCTTGGGAGTCCAGCTGCTGGCTTTGCTGCTCCAGGCGGTTCCTCGGTCGGCTGACTGCAAAATTTAGTAACGGTTCCACGACAGCGCCATGGAGAGCCAGCCTGCAAGGGGCAGCTGGCGACACCTGGGCTAAGCTGGGGTAGAGGGTGCGGCGCTCAGGAGTTGGGGCTCCCCAGCTCTCATCTCCCGCTAGAGGCGAAAACGAAAGGGTGGGTTGTTACTGGGAGCTGGAGTGCAGTGCGCAGTCGCTGTTTGGGGACAAGCCTTGCTCGAGTAAACACACTTAGCTGTGGCGGGTGACCCTGAGCTGAGACAATCCCGGCCCAGCAGCCAGAATCAGTTATCTCCTTGCTCCGGGCCTGTGGGTGGGAAGAAAGTCACGTCGAGGCATTCCAGTCTTCAGCCTCTGCTGTGTCCCCAAAGCCCCAATGCCTGCCCTATGTCGGTTTGCTTGAGGTCCCAGAAAGCAGCTCCATTGGCCAGTCACATTGTCTGGCGTTTGCTGAGACTGAATCCACGACTTCTGTTAAGATTCAGGGTTGAGGGGACATACACTGGGGCCTATCCCAATCTAAGCTGCTACCGAGGCAGCAAGGGGAGAAGGCCCTGAACAGGATCCAGTGGCCCAGTGGGCTCGGGACTGGGCAGGAGAGGACTTGGGACTAGGCGAGGTGGCCGCAAGGAGCTGAGCTCTGCGGAAGGACTGGGATAAGAGGCGGGGTGTGCTCAAGGAAAGGACTGCAGATTTTCATAACAGGCTAATGTCCTGCCAAAGACCAGAGCTTTGAGGGGCTTCATCTGGCTTCTCACCCAGCTCCACCACTTCCTGGCTGAGTTATTCTACTCCTTACCTCAGTTTCCTCATGTGTAAAATGGGCGTGATAATGCCTATCCCCTCGGCCGACTGTGAGGTGTCTGAGAGGCCCTGCCAAGGCCCTAATACATACTGGCAATCATTAAGAGGTAGCATCTTAAATTTGTTATACTCAGAAATAGCCATAAAATTACATGTAGTGTCTTGCAGTTATTTTTCAAACAAAGAAACTTAAGGAAACTTTGATCAGATTTATTTATTTATTTATTCTGTATTATATATTATTTTGCTGGCTTAATCTAAATGAGTTTTTTCTTTAAAATTGAGTCGGCAGCAAGTGTCGTTGAACTAGTTGGTGGAATGTGCCCTTGAAGGGGAGAAGTGCAACTTATAGAAGAAATGGGGGAAGTGCCCCGACTTGGAGACCCGGGGCCACGTGGAAGCGCCTGGTTGGCTAGAGCATAGTTCCAGCCTCTCACTCACAGATAAGACCGTGGGAGGACCTACAAGGCAGGCAGCAGGTCCTGGAGCCTCTTCTGTCAGGGTTGGGTGTGCTCAGCAAGCAATTCTGCCTCCCTCTTCCTTCACTTATTCCCTGCAAAGATGCTGCCTTTACAGCTGCCTGAGCCAGAAACTAACTTGTAGAAAACTAGCTTTTCAGCAGCATTCTCACCTCAGATGTTGTGCCCATCCACTCATCTGGCTGGGAGTGTCTCTGCCCTTAGCCAGTGTCTAGAAACACCGAGGTGACAATAGGAAGAAGTGCCAGGCCAGACCACAGTTGCTCTAGAAATTTGTGGAATGGGCGTGGATGCGCTGGCCTGATATGTGTGTTGTGGCTGATAAGTCAGCATGCGTTGTTCCAAAAGAACATCACTCTTGAAACTTCCATTATGCCTTCAGGAGTATCTGTGCCCAGGGTTCTCACTTGCGCATCTGGTGCCTGGGCTGGGACTGGGCTGGGAGGACTCAAAGGCTGAGTTCAGCTGGAGCTGTGATCCAAAGTACCTGCATAGGGCTTCTCCATGGGCCTTGGCATGGCTGGAGAGGAGAGGTCTCAAAGACTCAGCCAGAAGCTGTTAGGCTTCTTATGACCCTCCCTGCTTGACTTAATCTGATACTTACAGTTTACCTAGTCTGTTGGCATCAGTTTCCTTAACAATGTGCGTGTCAACACAGCCGCCTTGAGGGCTGTTGTCTGGATTACATGAGAAAATGCTCACAAAGCAGTCAGCACTGTCCCTAGCACGTTACAAGCACCCCATAACTGGCCATTTCTATTTATTAATGAGGCCTGGGGGAGACTGTGGCCTCTCTGCACGTGGCCTCCAGCAGGCGTGCGACCCACAGGTCTGTCTGAGCAGCCTGGGGGTGGTGGGAAGCCGGCTCTGGTCAGGCAGTGCCGGTTGCCTAAATGGCCCTTGAAGCACCACAGTGTCCAGTCATCCCATGCCCTGGCGTGGCCACGTAGCCAGGCAGGGTGTGATGTCATGCTTGCCACAGCACTTTTGAGGACCACTGAGTGTGGGGACAGAGCCCCCACCCCCTTCAGTGACTTGCTTCAATTGCGTTTACGTAAAATTACTTTGCAGAAGATTCTTTGGAAAGACCAGTTCTAAAAAGGATTCTTTCCAGTCTTTGAAATTTGGTTCTGTCCTTTGTCAGTCTCAACAGATGTTTCTGCTCTGTGGTGTATCAGCTCAAGATGTCATGGAGTTGCAAATGCAGAGTCTGAGAGTAATGACGTATGTGGTTTTCAAAACACAGCTAAGGTCCATTTCCTAAAGTCCAGATTCTCAGTCTGTTTTTTTTTTTTTAAAAAAAAAAGAGTGTATTTTTATTTTCAAGCAAGGGAGTAGAAAAACTATTTTTAACCAAGCATTTAACACAGAGAGATTGCTTGGATGCTTTTGGGACATGAATTGCAAGAACAGGAACATTTTACTGCAGTGTTCTCTTCTCTGACACGTCTCACGATATTCAGAAGGCAGATATATTGAGGTGGCAAGACACCACACTCCCGTTTTCTTTTTCACTCAGTGATGAAGGTAACTTGGCTGGAGTCTTTCAGGGAAGTCTAAATGAGCATGCACCCCACATCCCGGGAGGAGGGTGCTCCAGAAGACTTGTCCTTTCTGGCTTCTCCCCAGCTGTCACAAGCATGGCTTACTTTAAATAGCAAATGCTCCTGGAAAGGTGGCAGATACAATTTTTGTGACTGATGTAATATCTTAAAATGTGCCAAGGAGATTTGCTATTTAAAGAACACCAACTGTGAATCCTTTAGTGAATATTAACTCTCCAGTTTTTCTTGGTGAACGTTGAATTTCTGTGTGTTGGGTTTATTTAAAGTTGGGGAGGGGGGAGAAGGAATGTATTTCAACAACTGACAGGAGTTCTTGAAAATTTCTACATGAATATGTGTCGCTTTTATAATGAAAATGATAACATTTTTAAATTGTTCTTTTTTTAAAATCACTCCTCAAACCCATGAACCACCTATAGGCATTTGCTTAAATGCTTGCAGCACCGCCTCAGGCCCTGGGGTGGGGGGCACCTGAGCCTGTGCGAACATTTCTGGAGCCCTGTGGTGGAACCCCATGGCACTGCTTTCACGTGCCTAGTCTCATCTGATCCTCACAATACCAATGTGAGTGGGTGGTGGTCCCATTGTACAGATTTGTAAGTAAAGGCTCTAGCTCATGCAGAATGATGAACAATCTGGCAGATGCCCCAGTGCCAGAGAGCTGTCAGTCTAATGTGAAGATGGACAGGAAGTTAATAAACAAACAAAGCCACATGGGTAACTTGCTCAAGGCTTTTACAGCCACTAAGGAGAGAATTAGGATGTTGCTCCCACCCCCATGAGAAAGGAATGTTAGGAACACAGTCCTTGCCCTCAGAAGGTTAAGAGAACTAGCCTATGTTCTAGCACTGCTGGGCAGTAAATGTTAAATGGTGTGAGCCATGACTACGTGTGGTTGGGGTGATGAAAAGGGAGAGATAGCTGTGTCCGGGGAGATTTGAAAAAGGCTTGAACTAGGAGGTAGGGATTGAGCTGAGCCTTTAATTGCACTTGGTCCTTTGCCCAACTCCTTTTGGAAATGCTTGGAAATGGCATTTTCTTGTCCCACTGCTCAGTTCTTTGGGTGGAAGTTTTTAAATTTTTTTTTTTTAACATGGAGATGTAAGAATTTCATACCCTTCTTCCTTCCTTGCCTCCTTCTGTTCTTTCTTCTTTTTTCTATCGTTCCTGCAGTTGAAGCCACAGCAGGAGCCATGAGTGTATATTCAGCACCAGCACATGCCTCTGAGATCCTGCTCTTATGGATTGAATTGGGCCCCCCCAAAATATGTGTTGTAAATCCTAACCTCTATTCCTGTGGGAATGAGCTGACTTTGTTATGTTAATGGGATAGGATTAGTATATCGTGTATCATCAATCAATCTCTTTTGAGATAAGCAAGAAATTAAAGCTAGCAAGCAGAGAAGTAGGAAGAGAGATGCCAAGCCACATGAAGATTGCCCAGGAGCAGAAACTCAGAAGAGAAAAAGTCCTTCCTCCAGAGTCGACAGAGAAAATCTTCCCCTAGGACTGGCACCCTGAATTTGGACTTGTAGCCTCGTAAACTGTTAGAAAATAAATTTCTGGTTGTTAAAGCCATCCACTTGTGGTATTTTTGTTACAGCAGCACTAGATAACCAAGACAGAATTTGGTACCTGAAGAGTGGGATGCTGCTCTAATACAAATACGTACAATGTGGAAGTGGTTTTGGAACTGGGTAATGGGTGGAGGCTGAAAGAGTTATAAGGTGCCTAATAGTAAAAGCCTAGATTGCTTTGAAAAGACTGTTGGTAGAATTATGGGTGTCAAAGGCAATTCTGGTGAGTCCTCAGAAGGAAG